GTGCCTGACCCAAGCCATGATATTTTCAAAAACCTCATATGTATGCGAAAGCTGGACAGTGAATAAGGAAGACCACAGTAGAATTGATGCTTTTGAGTTATGGTGTTGGAGGAGAATATTGAAGTGCCATGGCCTGTCACAAGAACCAACAGATCTGTGTTGGAAGAAGTGCAGCCAGAGTGTTCCTTGAAGGCCAGAATGGTCAAACTTTGTCTCTCATACTTCAGACATATTGTCAGAAGGGACCAGTCTCTGGAGAAGCATATGTTTGGTAAGGTGGCGGGTCAGAGAAAAAGAAGAAGACCCCAGCAAGATGGATTAGCAAAATGGCAGCATCAATGGGGTCAAGCATGGTAACAGTTGTGAGATTGGCCCAAGGCCAGGCTGTGTTTCATTCTGTTGTGCATAGGGTCACTATGAATCAGTACAGACTGAATGGCACCTAACAACAGCAGCAACATCATAGTGTGGCACTGTAGGATAAGCACTGGACCGCAGGGATGGTTTGAACCGCAAGGTTGGTGGTTCAAGCTCACCCAAAACCCTATACATGGTTGCTATGAGTCTGAACTGACTTGATGGTACCTAACAACAATAACAACAACATTCCACTTTTACTCATTTTAAGATTTCTTTCTTTCTTAAATTCTTTATACTATTTAATTTGTTTCTTTTACATTCCTAATCTTAACTATCTTTCTTTTTCAATTTGTTATTTTCATGATTTTTCTCCTAAGGTCATAAGAGGGACGAGAAGGAGGGAAGAAATGCTACACAGAAGGGATGGGAGGCTCTTGTTATCTTTATACAGTCTCTCATCCCCTTCAAACCTGGCTTTATGCAACAAAGGTTCTTACCACAGCTGTATCAGACAACCCCAAAACACATTAGGTCCAGGGTAATTTGATGACAAATTTTTAAGGTGACTTGCATATATTGAAGGAGTCCTGTTTACATTGTGGGTGAAGCATTGAGCTGTTAACCATAATGTGGTTGGCGACTAAAACCCACTAGTCACTTCTTGGGAGTCTGCTCCCTTAAAAATGTACAGCCTCAGAAACCCTAAGGAGCAGTTCTATGCTGTCCTATAGGACAAAAGAGGAGGGCTTCTACATGATTTAGAAACAACAGGTAGTTCCAATGCACAACAGCAGATAAAAAACACTGTTCTAATACAACCTCAAATGGGAGAAGTAGGTTAACACTTCTCAAATCTATAAATCTCTCTCTGAAGAGATCTCTATACCAGAAATCCTGACACCAGGAAGTTTCCTAATGTCCCATCTTTCAGAGTCTTGATGATGAGCTAGCTGCATAGGTAAACCTCATGATGTGCAAATTGACAACACTAAGCACTGTGCAGCTGTATAAACTGGGTGCAATTCAACAAGTTGCTGAAGGAAGAAGGGGGTAGGAATTTCCCTTAGTGGTCTGGCCAGGCTGGACCTCCATGAGAGTCATTGAGGATGTTTTCCTGATCAGAGGCTCAGAAAAGGGTTCATAGTCAAGTCCTAGTTCTCCCTCCACCTCCCGGTGATAAATCGATCTTCAGTTTATTTTATGTCCCTTCTTAGCAGGTTATTAAAGGAGAACTCCAGGATATGTGATTTCTGTCACCTCTTTATTTCATGAAGAACAAGAAGCACCTGGCAAAAGCTACAAATTTCAAGCTTAAATGATATTTATATTAAACTGATTAAACACAGTTTTTAAAAATATTGCTGTACCTCTTTGGATGCTGTCTCTCCATCTTCTTCCTTAAGTCCATGAAGAGAAATTAAAGAAATAAAATAAATTTAAGTGAGTTTTAAGCTGAATCTAAAAAATTAAGCAAACTATAATAAAAATAAGTTGATCAAAGACAGGCATTAATTTATCCATAAATTATATTAGTAGCAAACATACAATAGCTGAGGGGCCCTAACTAATCTCATATATTATATTTCAGATGTTTGAAATAATATTAAATTAAAGGTATTTTTCCATTAAAGGCATTTTTCCATCAATCATACTCCTGAGAAAATGTAATTAATTCGTAATTGTTGTAATTTTTGTTAGATGTCATTGAATTGGTACTGACTCAAAGTAACCTTTGCACAACAAAACGAAACACTGCCTGGTCCTGCACCAACCACACAATTATTGCTACACTTGAGCCCATTGCTTCTCCACTGTGCCTATCCATTTTGGTAGGAGTCATCCTCTTTCGCACTAACCCTCCACTTTACAAAGCATGACCCTCCACTTTCCCTTCTCCAAGGACTGATTCCTCCCGATACAATGCCTGAAGTATAAGAGAAGAAGTCTTGTCATCCTGGCTTCTAAGGATCATTCCGGTTATACTTCTTCCAACACAGATTTTTTTGTTGTTTAGGCAGTCCACCGTGCTTTTAATAGTCTCCTCCAGCACCATAATTCAAATGCATCAATTATACTGTCTTTACTCATTGTCCAACATTCACATGCATATGAAGCTACTGAAAACACCATGGCTTGGGTCAGGTGCACCTTAGTCCTCAAACTGATATCTTTGCTCTTGAACACTTTAAAGAGGGTCTTGTACAGCAGATTTGCTTAATGCAATACATCGTTTGATTTCTTGACTGCTACTGCCATGAGGGTTAATGGTTGATTCGAGCAAAATGAAGTCTTTGTCAACTTCAATCTTTCTTACATTTATATAGATGTTATTTACTAATTTAGTGGTGAGGATTTTTGTTTTATTTACATTGATGTGCAACCCATACTGAAGGCTGTGGTCTTTGATCTTCATCAGTAAGTATTTTAAGTATTCTTCACTTTGAGCAAGCAAGGTTGTATCATCTGCATATCGCAGGTTGTTAATGAGTTTTCCTCCAACCCTGATGCCACGTTTTTCTTCATATAATACAGAATTATTTCCTCAGCATACAGATTGAATAAATGTGGTGAAAGAGTACAACCCTGGCATATACCTTTCCTTAATTTAATCCATTCAGTGTTCCCATGTTCTGTTTGAACAACTACCTCTTAATCTATGTGCAGATTCCTCATGAACACAATTAAGTGTTCTATCATACTCATTCCCCACAACATTGTCCATAGTTTGTCATGATCCACACAATCAAAAGCCTTTGCATAGTCAATAAAACACAAGTAAACATCTTTCTGGTATTCTCTGCTTTCAGCCAAGCTCCATCTGACATCAGCAATAATATCCCTCATTCCATGTCCTCATCTGAATCCAGCTTGAACCTCAGAAGTTCTCTGTCAATGTCTGGTTGCAGTCACTTTTGAATTATCTTTAGCAAGATTTTACTTGCATGCAATATTAATGATATCATCCGATGATTTCTGCATTCTGTTGGGTCAGCCCTCTTTGGAATGGGCACAAATGGACCTCTTTCAGTCATTGGCCAGGTAGTTGTCTTACAAATTTCTTGGCATAGATGAGTTAGTGCCTCCAGTGCCTCATCAGTTAGTTAAAAGATTTCAATTTATATTCCATCAATTCCCAGAGCCTTGTTCTTTGCCAATTCCTTTAGTACACCTTGGACTTCTTCCTTCAGTATCATTGGCTCTTGATTATATGCTCTTGAAATGGTTGAACATCGACCATTTCCTTTTGGTCCAGTGAGTCTGTATATTCCTTCTACCTTATTTTGATGCCTTCTGCCTCATTCAATATTTTAACCTTAGAATCTTTCAATATTGCAAATCGAGGCATGAAGTTTTTTTCTTCAGTTCTTTCATCTTTAGAAATGCTTAATGTATTCTTACCTTTTGGTTTCTAACTCCAGATCTTTGCACATTTCATTATAATATTTGATTTTGTCTCTCAAGCAGCCTGTGAAATTTTCTATTCAGTTCTTTTACCTCCTCATTTCTTCCATTTAGATACTTTAGCATCTTTATGCTGGACAGCAAGTTTCAGAGTCTCAAGGAGGGAGAGGGGATGTGTGCTGGTGACCCAGGGGAGCAGGTTTGTAGGGTATACCCTTTGATTGTTTGAATGGTTACACATTCCTGAGTGCTTTGGTGTACATCCAAAAAAGAAACAGAGGGAATGGAAGCAAATGCTGTTGAACGATGATGCATGGAGGGGATTGTAATCGTTGCAATGAAATGAAATACGATAGGATGGACATAGAGCTGATGCTCTCCCATTTAAACTATCACTCAATTCACTACAAAAACTTGAAAAAAAATAAAAGCCTTTGTATAGTCAATAAAGCACAGGTAAACATCTTTCTGGCATTCTCTGCTTTCAGCCAAGCTCCATCTGACGTCAGCAATGATTTCCCTCATTCCACATTCTGTCTGGATCTGTCTTGAACCTCTGGCAGTTTCCTATCGATATGCTGTTGCAGCCTTTTTTCCCATTATCTTTAGAAAAAGTTTACTTGCATGTGATATTAATGATATTGTTCTATGATTACTTCATTCCATTGAATCATCTCTCTTAAGAATGGACATAAACATGGATCTCTACTAGTCAGTTGGCCAGGGAGTTGTTTTGTAATGTATTGGCATAGATAAATGAGTGCCTCCAGTGCTGCATCAGTTTGTTAAAAGATTTCAATTTGTGGGATGGGGCTTTATGGTGGCTAGGGTGGAGATGCAGGGAAGTTCACTGTCAGCCATACCACAGAATACCAGGCAAAGCAGATCCGGAGCAGAGCTCCAAAACTCAGAACATCATAGCTAGGAATATTTTAAAAGTTTGAAGGCTTATAGCTAGTGGAACTTAAAGCTGAAGTAAGAAATCACGTACTTTATAATCTGCCAGGCTCAGAGGCCCGGAGCCAACATCTTAGGTGAGATCATATGGCAAGACCAAGCAGGAAAGCAGAAACACCATAGAAAAACACCATGGGAACCTTGAGCAAAGGTGAACAATACACTGTGTTGGTTTTGCTTTGTTCTGATTTTCTTTTCTTTTAGTATCTGGTCATTGGGCACCCCCACTGTTTGTGCACCTCCATTCTGGTGACTAGAAGGGGAGCCTGAATGAGTAGACACACCCGCCCTCACCAATGGTGGGTCTTCCGCCACACATGCGCACAGATACTCAGCCCAAGAGCAGGCCATAAATGTTATTTTTTTAAATATGGGAAAGGCCAGGGCAGGGCTGTAGAGAGGGAAAGAGAGTTTAAAAACAAAACAGGCCAAAAATTAAATTAAGCCTGAGGTATAGCACAACAAACCAACAGTGGCATCTTGAACTCTCTCAGGCAGCTTAGAAAGCAGGATGCTGAAGAGAGGACATTAAAGTCATACTCATATTAGGCTACAGATTTTTTTCTTTCTTGTCTCCCTCCTCTCCCTTTTCAGTGATTATAGACTACAGTATTCAGTCTAGTTTTGTTTTGTTGTTGTAGTTGTTATTGTTTTGTTTTTTCTGTGATTTTGTTTTGTTTTGGTTTTTTGCAGATGCTGTTTTGCTGTTTTATGCTTCCCCTTCTACCTTTGAGGGACTTTTTCTCTCCCTATGTTATACAAGAAGAGTCAATAACAGCTGCCATATAGTCAACCTACAATCACACTCTATGAACACCAAAACCCAGGCAAGAACCAACATCCTCTGCCACATGCCAGGGAGGCAGACAACACCTGTGAAAGTTACTCTGAGTTAAGAAATAAGAAGAGTGAAAAGGGAAGCCCAAATCCTGATCACATCTACCTGGAAGCAATCAGAAAGCATTAAAAATATCAAAACACATACTCAATTAAGTATTAAGGCCACAGATAAACACTAGAGATGTCCAAGAAGCAAAAGCAGATGACCATATCAGCACATGTCCAGAAACAAGATAAAATGCCTGAGACAAATGACCTATGGGTAGACCTGACTCCATTCTGGAAGGAAGGCAGGCCTTGCAAATGCCTGAGAAGGAATTCAGAAAAATGATTATAAAATGTTTCAAAACACTTTACAATGGAGTTGAGAAAAATAAGGAAGAAGTCAGGAAAGCACAACAGGAAAAATCAAATAAGTTAGATACTGCATTGGAAACAATTTAAAACCTACAGAAAGAGGTCCAAATGATCAATAAAAGAATATCAGATATAGACATTACTCTATTATCTAAGGAGTAGAATAGAAGAGATGGAAGGCAGAACCAGTGAGCTGGAAGACAAATCTCTCAATACCACTAAGAGAGAAGAGAAACAGAAAAAATGATTTTAAAAACCCGAAGAAGGTCTAAGATTCATGTTGGACAATATGAAGGGGAATAACTTAAGAATTATCAGCATTACAGAACAAGAGCAATCACATAAGTCCACAAAGGAAATAATTGAAGAACTGTTGGAAGAAAATTTCTCTAAAATCCTGAAAAGTAAAAGGATAAACATTCAAGAACCTCAAAGAACCCCAGGAAGGATAGATCCCAAAAGAAAATCACTAAGACATATCATAATCAAGCTCTCCAAAATACAAGATAAGGAGACACTCCTGAAAGCAGCTAAGGAAAACAGAAGTGTTACATACAATGGCAAGCAAGTTAGATTAAGCTCAGATCACTCAGCAGAAACCAGACAAGGATGCCCTTTGTCAGCATTCCTATTCAATATTGTGCTGGAAGTCTTAGAAAGAGCTATATGACAAGACACAGAAATTAAAGGCATCTAAATTGACAAAGGGGAAGTAAAACTCTTTCTATATGCAAACCATATCATCCTATATGTAGAAAACACCAAAGACTCAGTAAAAAAGCTTCTATACCTCATTGGAAGATTCAGCAAAGTGGCAGGATATAAGATCAACATA